AATCAAGACATGAGCCAACAGCTACTCAAGACATGAGCTAACAGCTACTCAAAACATGAGCTAACAGTTTCTCAAGACATGAGCCAACAGCTAGTGCTAACAGCTACTCAAGACATGAGCTAACAGCTACTCAAGACATGAGCTAACAGCTAGTGCTAACAGTTAATCAAGACATGAGCGAACAGCTACTCAAGACATGAGCTAACAGCTACTCAAGACATGAGCTAACAGCTACTCAAGACATGAGCTAACAGCAAGTGCTAACAGTTAATCAAGACATGAGCTAACAGCTACTCAAGACATGAGCTAACAGCTACTCAAGACATGAGCTAACAGCTAGTGCTAACAGTTAATCAAGACATGAGCTAACAGCTACTCAATACATGAGCTAGCAGTTTCTCAAGACATGAGCTAACAGCTAGTGCTAACAGCTACTCGAGGCATGAGCTAACAGTTACGCAGAGTTCAAGCTGCTTCTTCAAATGTCTGAGTATAAATGAGCCTCCACAAGTTATGGAAGATCAGTGGAAGGTTATCTTTAGCTTCTTCAGTGCGTGTAACTTTAAACACGCACAAATGTTTGGTTGAGAAAATTACGACATTTTCATTCGCTGATATAAAAATACTGAACGTTAGCTCAAACTGCCAAGAAGTTTTAAGTTTGAGTCGTTTATGGAAGGAATTTGCTCGAGTTTTGACTCCATGTTAGCTTCTCCCTGATTCTCCAAATGGAGATCACGCTGACTTCTATCTACTGCAGGTAAGATGCTAACTGTTCAAACTGCTTCACACAATCGTATTAAAAAAATGAACCTTTAGGGAAAAATCAGTGTATTTTTATAGAACATAGTTCATTTGGCACGACAAGTCAGTGCATCGGTGAGTAAAGTTTTGTGCTAAACATCTTTCAATAAGAGATTTCAATAAAAACACCCTAATCTACACGACACGTGCACATCATATACACCCAAAATCTTATAGAATTAGCCATTTACAAGTTTTCTGAAAAAGAGAAAAGATACAAGAAGTTTATTTATATATATTCAAGGAGGAAATAGCAGGAGAAAGGCTGTCGTTTAGGCAGCATGCTCTCCAGTGTCGCGTGTTGTTGGTACCTGTGCTTATCCGAGGCGTCAACGGTGGCGCTGAGGTGGCGACTAACGGCGGTTTAAATCCATGCCTATCACTGGATCCTGTGTGGAAGAAGGCACTTACAGGAGAGGAGTGGTACAGGCCCGGTCTACACAACACCACAAGGATCTCAGCCGTGTATCTTCAAGTAAATTAGTGGTTTTCTTGGAGGGTCGACTACACCGGGACCCAGAGGACTGGGGGTGGGGAGAGAGGGGGGCTTTTGGTGCCTTCTTCTTACATTCATATGCATGCAATGTGTCTACAACAAATGGTCGGCGTATTTACACAAAGAAGTCTCTGCTGTTTGACCAACGCTCAACGTGATTCAACGGAAAACTTGATTCATGGCACAAGTTTTTACGACTCGTTCAGATTTGGGGAAAAAGTTTCCTTTAAAAATGATCTGATTACAAATTGTGACAAAAGAGTGATTTTTTGTGTAAAATTAGTGCAGAGCCGGGGGCGGGGGGGGGGGGGGGGGTCCTCAGCTACAGACTAATAAATCCCATTAAAAAGTCGTTCATGTGAAACGATCACCAATCAATCGGTTAATAAGTTAATCCATAAGTGCTGTTTTTATGGCTGTTTCCAGAGTCAGCCGACGCGATGGCTCAGAGGACGGTTCAGTGACGGGACAGGATGCACAAAAAACTGGACAGATTCTACAGGAACCAGCACTGACAGCGAGACGAAGAGCAGGAGCACCTCACCAGAAAGGTCCAACACCAACCAGGGAACGGTGCGGTGGAGCAGCGGTTGTGCTTATTGGTACCTTTCTCTTTGAGCTCCTTCGGTTCTTGAAACGGACCGTTTGAAGCCCAGTGTTCTGGAAGTCCACAACGTTTACTTCCTGGGGTGGAAGACCATGAGAGGCCTGTCTTCTATCTTCTGCCACGGACTCTTCTTGTTCTCGTCTTTGTCGTCGGGGTCGTCCTCGGGACTGGTCATGGAGTCGCGGCGGTTCTCGCTGTTGCTGCTGCGGCTGCTGTTCCCTCGGCTGCGCCCCCTCCTGGTGACGGTGGATCCACGTGAAGACGGTCCTTCGTCCAGAAGAGGAGTGAGGGAGTTTTCCTCGGGCGACACCGGGCGTCCCTCACTGCTGCTGGGCTCGCTGTGGTCCTGGTAGGCCAGCTTGGAATAATTCTTCCCCCCGCCGCTGCCGACGCTGTGACCCTTCCGTCCTCCGGACCCCCAGCGCTCTTCCTTTCCCTTCCGGATGGCTGCCAGTTTTCGCTCGTGGGACTCCAGAGGCGGCTCCAGGTTGATTTCTCGTTGGGCGCCGCCGGAGCTGCCTCCAAATCCACCGCCGCTGAGGTCGTTGCTGACATCGATGTAGGAGTGGCGGACGTGAGCGTTGGCCCGCCCGTCCAGGGAGATGAACCAGGCCCGCGGGTGCTGTTTCACACCCAGCTCCAGCAGCTTCTTCTCCGTCAGGGCCTGCAGCTCCCCGTTCATCTGAGCCATGGTGGAGTCGTTGAAGAGCACGGGGATGGTCACCGCTCCGCCGGAGGAGTCGGACGCCCAGCTCGGCTCCTCAGAGTCGTCGCCTTGGGAGCCACCTTGCTGCTGCTGGCCCTGTTTCAGGTGGTGGTGCTGCTGGCCCCCTCCCATCTGCGTCCCATCTTTGTCCTGGTCCTTCTGCTCCTTTCCATCCTTGGCAGAAAACTCGGAGGGCAGGCGCATGTAGTGAGCCGGGATGACCAGGGTTGGCACCATGCTCCGGTACATGTTCTCCTTCATCTGGTCGATGGAGCTGCAGAAGATGATCTGGCCCGGCTGGGTGTTGAGGGAGGTGGGTCTGGCGAGGCTGTCTGCTGCTGCGGCGGAATACTCCGGAGGTTTGTCCGACTGGCTCGGCACGTAGCCCTGGAAGCGAGGCGGGGACGGCGGATCGGACGAGTATCCTCGATTGTCGTTGGCGTTGTGGTGTCTGTGGTACTCGGACTCTTTGCCCTCTTTGGGGCTGTAGCTGCGGTTGTAGTCTTCATGCAGTAAGGGGTTGTCCAGGTTGTTGGTCTCTGTGGCTCGGGTGACCTTCATGGGGAAGCTCTCGCCCCGCTGAGAACCTGAAGCGTTCTTTCCCTTCCCGTGTCGCAGCATGTGAACTGGAACGTGCTTGGTCAGGTCCTCCCTCGAACTCTGATAGTCTCGAGATGGGGACAAGTCCGACTTGTCGTTGGAGGGTCCCGACTCCACGTGGCCTCCACAGATCAGGTTCAGACGCGACATAGACGTACCCTGGTCTCTCTTAGCTCCGTTTAGGTTGGATGTGTGGGGTTTCCCTTGATGTCGGCGAGGCTTCAGACACCGCCGTCTGGAAGGTAAACAGACCAGAACTGAGCCTACAGCAACAAACAAACGTTTCTCAGAGTTAGTTTAGTTAAATCAGCTAAAAGTGAGACCTGCAGTAGTAGAGCAGCACGCAGAGCAGGATGAGCACCAGCAGGGCCAGCGAGCCCAGGATGGAGAGCAGGAACAGGGTGTGGTAGGTGGTGATGTCCCTCAGGCCTGGATAAGACAGACCGAAACCTGCAGAATATTTCACAGATTATCAATCTGAAGGTCGTTAGACAGCTGGAGTTTATTTTAGCTGCTGATGTTCAAGAACTGCCTGATGGATAAACATCCTGTTGTTGTTGTTGTTGTTGTTGTTGTGGAAACACTCATGAAGCGTTCACTCCACTGTGATCCATTTTACTTCCATACGTTTTTCAGCATCTTTCTCTTTCCACAATTTTTGTGCTGTTTCAACAAATCATGAATCAAAACGTTCGGCTCTTTCAGGACAATCCTGCTGTGACTTTTGGTATTGGTGCAACTTTAGCTTTTTTTAATATTTAGCCTTTTCTGACATTTTTTTCTCACAGAAAATTTATTTTACATCCTTCAGATCTTTAGCTCTGTTTACAACCTTTTCCTGTTCCTTTCACATTTTGTTCTGCTTCAGCTTCCTTCTGCAAATTTAACTTTTTTCAGCCACTTTCAGCTAATTTCAGCTGTTTTGTGCTCCTTTCAGATTCTTTCTCCTAACTATATTTTTGTGCTTCTTCGGAGTTCTTTCAGCTAATTTCAGCTTGTTATGCTCCTTTCGGCTTATTTCTGCACGTTTCAGCTTTTTCTACTATTTCAGCTATTATACAGCTGTTTTTATGCTAGTTTAAGCTTTTTCAGCTAATTCCACATTTGTTGCACTCATTTCAACATTTTTCCATCTGATTCAGCAAAAATGTGCTCTCTCAACTTCCTTCTTGTAATTTAAGCTTCTTTTTGCTTTTTTAGCTACTTTTCAGCTGTATTTTTGTGATCATTTCTACTTTTTTCAGATAATTTCCACTTTTTTGTGCTCATTTCTGCTTAATTGGGCAAACATGTTCTTTCAGCTTTTTTCTGCTAATTTAAATTTGTTCTATCTTTTCAGCTACTTTTTCCTTAGCACTTTTTAGCTAGTTTCAGCTGTTTTCAGATAAATTCAAGTTTCCCGTCGTAATTTCTGCTACTTTCAGCCTAATTAACTTCTTTCTGCTAATTTCAGGTTGTCATGCTCCTTTCAGCTTTTTTCAGCTAGTTTGAGCTTTATCTGCTATTTTAGCTACTTTTTAGCTGTAAATTTATCTTTATTTATTTTTCATATATATGAATGTTTCTGTTCAGTGTCCCGAGACGACTTCTGTTGTGACTTGGAGATTTATAAATAAACTGAATTTAATCTTCAGCTAATTCCACATTTTCTAGTTCATTTCAGCTCATTCCACTTCCTTCTGGTAGTTTAAGCTTCTTTCTGCCTTTTCAGCTACTTTGAGCTATTTTTAGCTCATTTCTGCACATTTAAACCAAATTCAGCAATATTTGTTTTTTCTGCGGGCAGCACGGTGGCGCAACTGGTAGAGCTGCTGCCTCTCAGCGAGCAGGTCCCTGGTTCAAACCCCGGTCCAGGGGCCTTTCTGGGTGGAGTTTGCATGTTCTGTCCGTGCATGCGTGGGTTTTCTCCCGGTGCTCCGGTTTCCTCCCACAGACCAAAAACATGCATGTTAGGCTGATTGGTAACTCTAAATTGTCCCTAGGTGTGAGTGAGAGAGTGAATGGTTGTTTGTCTCGTTTGTCTCTATGTGTCCCTGTGATGGACTTGCGACCCGTCCAGGGTGTACCCCGCCCCTCGCACAGTGATTGCTGGACATGGGCACCAGCGACCCCCGTGACCCAAAACTGGAATAAAACGGGTAAAGATAATGGATGGATGGATGGATGGATGTTTTTTCTGCTTTCTTCTTAGTCTTGTTCTTCCATTCAGCTACATTTCAGGTTGTTTTAGCTCATTTCAGCTGTTTTTCAGGAAGTTCTTCAGCAACAAGCATTCACACTGCATTTTTGCAGGAAATGCAGTTTTCCTCGTTAGTATTGTCGTCCCCTGTGACACCAAGAGGACGGTGTTTGCATCAACGCAGGTAAAAACAGCTGAAGCAGCAGATCTGAGTCAGGCATACCTGAAGACGAAGGAAAGGCAGCTAACCAGTACCCCATCTGAGGAACCACGACGTTCCACACAAACTGCGTCCCGTCCTTTTTGATGTAGCCCGTCCCGTTCCGAACCCACAGTCCTGAAAATTGTAGATAAAATAATCTTCATTATTACACACATGAAGCTTTAAATACACGGTGATGAGTTTTCCTCACCCGTCTTCGGCTGATACATCCAGGCAGGAACACTCGTGGCCATCCTGTTCCGGGTGTCGGACGGCAGAGGCACCGAGACGTGGATCGGATCGGAGACCTTGATCGCGCTGCCATCTTTGTCAAAGAGCTGAATGCTGACCACGGCGAGCGCCGTCAGGTCGGTCCACCCGGTTTCTGCACCTGAACGAGAAACAAGACCAACATCAGCATCTTCTTCTCGTGTTGAGTTCTTTTATAAAACAGCCGCGATGCTCGTTGCATTTCAGCCTCTCGATGTAGGAGGAGTCGCTAAATGTCCGGATGGGGACATAAAAACACGTTGGAGAGAGGAACAACAAGAAGTGCCAATATTTTACAGCAGCACAGAAAAAAAATCATCACATAGAAAGAGCTGATATTTTAACAACTCAAGTCTGTAAACTGAGTTCAGAGAAAACTCCCAGAATTCCCTGGGTTGGCCGACTGACGCAGACCTGAGCTGTTGGTCTCCTGGCCCAGAAGAAAGGGGAATCCACCGAGCTCGTACTGACTCCTGGCGGTGGTGAGCGTGGCCGACAGCGCCGTGTAGTTGGAGCTGGAGGACAGCTGGATGGACTTCCTCTGGAGCTGAACCAGCGGCTGGTTCCGAGCGCCTGACGTGCAAAACAAAGCCGGTGAACAATAAAACTTTGAGGAACGTGCTGCAGTTAGACAGAAAGATGAATAAATAAACATGAAACATGGGTCTGGTCTCACCTGGTGACCCAGACAGAACCTGCAGGACGTCATCGTACAGAATCAGAGTTCCTGGCCTCTCAGCAAGAAGGTACAGGCTAACCGAGGCGTACACTAAAACAGAGACAATTTATTAAAAAACAGCTGATTTTACAGTTGAAACACCGAAGAAAACTAAAACAGACCGACAGCTCAGCAGCTAAAAGCTAACTGGTGTTGTTTAGCAAACTATTAGCCGAGTGCCAACAGTTTGTTTTGCAAACTATTAGCTGAGAGCTAACAGTTTGTTGTTTTGCAAACTATTAGCTGAGAGCAACAAAGTCCATGCTCAATAATCCAGGTATATAATCCAACATTTTTCAGTCAGGTCATCTGGACAGTTTCTTTTGTTTTTGTTTTTTTTGTGCTGAAACGTGGATTACTGAGCATGGACTTTGTTGGTTTTGAACCAGCTTGACATGACTGTTGATGAGAGAGAGGGCCGGCACCGGAGGAGGGGGTGTGCCAAAGAGACCATCTTAGCACCAACATAACTGGTTTGTTCCACTTTGGAGTAAGCTGTTGGGGGAAGAATCAGTTTTGTGTTGTGTGTTTCCTTGACTGATGAAGCCTTCTGGATGGAAGGTGAAACGTTTCAGCACAAAAAAAAAAAGCTGTCCAGATGACCTGACTGAAAATTGTTGTATTAGCTGAAAGCTAACATTTTGTTGTTAAGCAAACTATAAGCTGACAGCTAACAGTTTGTTGTTTAGCAAACGATTAGCTGAAAGCTAACAGTTTGTTTTTATCTAAAAACACCTAAACAGACACCATCAGAGAAGCGGTTTCAACATTTGAAGGAACGAGGGTGACAGCTGAAGTGGACCTACAGGGGATGCGGTTGGAGTGCCACGGCACAGAGTTGGTGATGTAATCCTGTTTGGAGGCTGTGATGATGACCCATGTGCCGGCTCGGTACAGGAAGCTGACTCTGACCACGCCATCGCTGCCGGCACGACTCGACGCCAAGAGCGTCTGGTTCCCCTGAACGTCCACCTGAGCGCCCGCTAACGGCGACAGGTCGCTGTTGTCGAACACCTGCACTTTTATCTGTACCTCTGAAAATGGAAAGAAAAATAAAGTATTTTCACAATCATTAAGGCAACATCCATCCATCCATCCATCCAGCCATTGGGTCTCGGGGGCAGCATCTTGAGCAGGGAGGTCCAGACATCTCTCTCCACAGCCTCTTCCAGCTCTTCTGGGAGGACCCCAAGGCGTCCTCAGGCCAAATGAGAGACATAGTCTCTCCAGTGTGTCCTGGGTCTTCCCCGGGGTCTCCTCCCAGTTGGACATGCCTGAAGCACCTCCCTAGGGTGGCGTCCAGGGTACATCTCTACCAGATGTCTGAACCACCTCAACTGGCTCCTCTGGATGTGGAGGAGCAGTGGTTCTACTCTGAGTCTCTCCTGATAACTGAACTTCTCACCCTGTCTCTAAGGGAGAGTCCAGCTCTGCAGATGAAACTCATTTCAACCTCCTGGATCCACGATCTCATTCTTTCAGTCTCTACCCAGAGTTCATGACCAGAGGTGAGGGGAGGAACGTAGACTGACCTGTAAACAGAGAGCTTTGACTTACAGCTCAGCTCTCTCTTCACCACAACGGACCAGCCCAGAGTCCACAATACTGCAGACGCTGCCCCAATCCATCTGTCAATCTAACGCTCCATTCTTACCTCACTCGTGAACAAAACCCCGAGATACTTGAACTCCTCCACTTGAGGCAGGACCTCACACTCGATCTGAAGAGAGCACTCCACCCTTTTCCAGTTGAGGACCATGGCCTCAGATTTGGAGGTGATAATTCTCATCTCAGCTGCTTCACACTCGGCTGTGAACCGCTACAGTGAGAGCTGAAGGTCACGGCACGATGACGCCAGCAGGACCACATCATCTGCAAAGAGCAGAGATGAATCCTGAGGCCACAGAAACGGACTCCCTCCACCCCCCGTCTGCACCGAGAAATTCTGTCCCTAAAAGTTCTGAACAGAATCAGTGACAACAAGCAGCCTTGGAGGAGTCCAACTCCCACCCTGAAGGGTCCGACTTACTACCAGCAATGAGAACCAAACTCTGGCACCACTTGTATAGAGACTGAACAGCCTGTAGCAACGGGCCCCCAATCCCACACTCACGGAGAACCCCCCAAAGTGTAGGAACACGGTCGAAAGACTTCTCCAAATCCATAAACACATGTAGACTGGATGGGCAAACTCCCATGACCCCTCGAGGACCCTAGTGAGGGTAAAGAGCTGGTCCAGTCATGAACTCAAGTTAGCTGAATGCTAACAGTTAGCGGTTAGCAAGGTGCAACTTTAAAACTTTTCACATTTGTCACTTCTGACTAATGTTCACAAACTACCACTGAATTATTGAGATATTTCAGAACAAAATTAACTCATGAAGAAATAAGGAGCAAAACATTTTGGTAAATTAAGACTGATGTTTTTGTTATGGAGTTAGCATCAAGCTAACAGTTTGTATTAGCAAACTGAAACCCTAATTGTAGCTAAATAATTTCTTGGTAAAGTTTATTGTATTTATATAAAAATGAGCACATAAAGTGATAAAGAACATTCCTGTACATTAATGCAGTTAGCTGAAATCTAATTTGCCGCACCAGCAACCCTAAAATTAGCCTCTGACTGTCATAAACATAAACTACAGCCTGATTACTGTGATACTTTGAACAACATGAACATCTGAAGTTAACATTTGGAATAAATTTATAATTTTATTTAGATTGGACTTCTGGTGTAATCACTTCCTGTTGGGCCAGATTACCGTCCTGATGAGGAGGATGTTTGCAGTCCCAGACGCACCCTCCACAACGCTCATCCTCGTGTTTTCGGCCCTGAAACATTTCGGTTCTCATCATCCTGCCTCTTGGACGGCGTGGATGTGGGTCACACTGTTGCCATGGAAACGGGCAGACTCGCCAAAAGCTGCCTTGTCGTGCTTCCTGACTCGGTTCCTGTGGAACGACGAGCTTCGGTCGCCTCAAACCCCGCGGAGAAAAACTCCTTCGTGTGTGTGTGTGTGTTTGCACGTGCACTGAACATGGATTGCTGCTGTCATCCATGACCATCAGTGGAACAATAAAGGCTCTGTTGTGCTCGGGGAGGATTTCCTCGGTCTGGACTCCACTCTTGAGTCACTCAGTGGGAGTTTCTCTTCAAAGTGTTCTTTCCACAGGACAATCGTCTCTCTGTTTACCCCGAGACGAGTCTGTAACTCAGAATCAAAACTAGTTTTCACAGTTAAAGCTCAAACAAACTGGTTTTCCAGAACTTGATATTTTGTCTAAAGGTTTGACCTGTTTTTTTACATTTAAAATACAGTAATTGTAATTTGGATTTCCAAGATCGGCGCTTTCATTTGAGATGGTCATATTTAAATCAAGGTTCTGGTGTTGCGTTCAAGTGTCAGAGAAAAGTAAACTGACCGGCTTTAACCGCTCCTTTCATGTCGACCTGCCTCAACACGCCTGTTTTAATTGTTTTGGCTTTGACCGGCGTTTAGACACCGAGCTCCACCTAACTTTAAAAAAACAGACAAAACAAAGAAATACGACCGAACGAGGACTAAAACTGTGTTAAGATATTTTTGGACTGGTCCTATGGTTTGGATCTGCTCAGAGACGGGATTATAATGAAATTATGACCCGGTTCTGACTGGGTTAAACTGGGCCAGCAACTCTAAAAAGAGTCTCCCTGGGATTCAATATCAGCCAAAGAATAGAGTTTAATCTGCTTGCTACATCACGTAGAAAGGCTTTTGAAGCACCGTCTCATATTTTCTAACACGTCAGAAACACATAAGATCCATTGAGATCCCACTTAGCCACGCCCCCTCATACACCGACAGGTTGAGCTCCCCTTCTGCGAAAGAGGAGTCCAGGACCCTATAAATGAGTAATGACACGGGACATCGGGGCTTTTCCGGGTCTGTGAACGCGTCACAGACCGGAGAGTCCAGCGCTGTAAATTGTAACATTTTCCTGCCTTTTTTAATATAATTGATAAAACTTCATTGACGTTTCCTTGATTTATTTGTTAGTATGAGTTGCCACTTCTTAGGAAGGTTCGAGCCGGGGGGAAAGGACGTGGGCTGGAGGGGGCTGGAGGGTCCGGTGGCCCGCAGCCAGCTCCCGTCTTTAACAACTGGAAAGTCTGAGTTCAGCCAAAGTTGGAAAATGTGAAAAAAATGTACTCGAACATTAAAATGTGAGGTCCGGCCATCGAGATGTGTTAACGCTAAAGACCGGACCGGAAGCCTGCAGCTGAAGCCACAGAGGGCGAGCACCCCCTGGTGGCTGGATGCAGAACTACTTAAGCCCCGCCCCCTCTGTGTAAATAAATGGGACATTTCCACGACAGAAAAATATTTTTAAGTAACACTGTGGTTTATTTTTTTTCCAGGTGTTTTGGAGCTTTATGCTGTAGGTTCAAATATGCACAATTCGTCAAGTTCAGTTTTAATAATTATTTGTCTTTTAAAATACGTCATGTGGCACTGTGATTGACAGGCTGTTTGGGTGGGACTTTCATTACGAGGGTCCATTCATCTTGTGTAGACTCCAGCTCCAAAAATACAACATGGCTGCCCGCACCCAAAAATGTGGACATTTTGGTTTCAGTTTTGAATAACAGGAGAAGACTGAGACGCTTCGGCCATTTCTATTAGTTTAGCTGGGCTAAAGGTTCGATAAGAACTTGTTTTGTCCTCGTCTGCTCTCAGTTATGAACCATTTATTCATAACCTAATTAAAGTCAACAGTGACAGGATTACAGCAGGAAAGCATAGATTTTTTTATTATTTTTTTAAATTATATATTTATTTGTGTTTCTAGGCTTCAATGTGACAGTGGGCATACAGGAAGTAGGCCCCCCCAAAAATTCAATTTTTTTAAAATATATTTAATTTATATACATTTTTTTCTTCTCTGACAACTGTGATTGAACGTGGGCGGAGCTTAACTCCATCTTTCCACAGAGCCACCCTTTAAAATGTCCGGAATATCCCTTTTTAAAGCATGACAGAAGGCTGGGTGGTTTAGGGTCAGCTCTGCTCCTGTGCGCGCGCTCATGCATGAATAAATCAATTACGTAATGTCCTTCAAAATGCACGGAACTACAAAAACATGGTTAAAAGAACTGGATCTGGTTTCAAACACATTTATCTCAGAGGACTGAGCTCCTCCTGATCTGTTCAACAAGGCCTGATGGTCCACATCCAGACCTGAGCCCAAAGACCACCAGGACCCACGGCAGGGCCTCCCACCCTGTCACCTCACCCTTCACCCACCAGTGGACCCAAAAGGTCCAGAACCAACAGAACCAAATCCCCCGCAACATAAAACACATCCAACCATCCGACCAACCCCTCCCATGATCTCATTGTGCTGCATCCATCTCCACCTCCTGCAGGGCCTTACCGAACTGATCCGGCAGAGACTTGGACCGAACCTCCCGGACCGCGCACAGCAACGCGCACAGCAGCACACGGGACACGCGCATGGCTGCAGTTACATGTCTGCCCGGCGGGTGTGAGCTCGTTTGTCCATGTCTGTCCTCGGATTGAAGCGCGGAGCTCAGATGCTGCTTCGCCTTGTTTTTATTGTCTGAGGAGACACGAAAGACAGAAATGTGTCCCCCTGCTGGCCTCGCCCGGGACAGCCTCCTGAACGTTAAAGGACCAGGCCCCTACAGGCACTGGTAAATGAAGCCAGTGTAGCTCTGGTACTGGTCCCAAGCCCGGGTAAATGGTGAGGGTTGTGTTGTGGCATCCGATGTAAAACACTTTTGCCAAAACCATAATGCGAGTTCTTCAAAGCAAAACCAAACCGGATTGGTCAAGATCCGGATTAACAACGACCGCCAGGGTGATGATGGAAGTTGTGCTGCTGAGTGCTGAAGACCACAATGAGGGAAACGTGTCAGGAGACAGAGGAGAAGAGGAAAGTGAAGAATGTAGGACTGAGGGTTGCAACTCTAAATGTGGGGACAATGACAGACAAAGGTAGAGAGCTGTCTGGCATGATGCTGAGAAGGAAGGTAGATGTTTTATGTGTCCAAGAGACCAAGTGGAAGGGCAGCAAGGCTCGCAGCATTGGAGCAGGGCTCAAACTGTTTTACCATGGTGTTGATAGAAAGAGAAATGGAGTAGGGGTGGTCCTGAAGGAGGAGTTGGCAAAGAATGTAGTAGAGGTGAAAAGAGTGTCAGATAGGTTTGATGTGTCTGAAGGTAGAAGTAGAAGGTCTGATGCTAAATGTTGTCAGTGGTTATGCTCCACAGGTTGGATGTGATGAGGAGGAGAAAGATACATTTTGAAAGATCTGGATGAAGTGATAGAGAGTATTCCCAGGGAGGAGAGAGTGGTGATGGGAGCAGACCTGAATGGGCATGTTGGTGAAGGAAACAGAGGATGAGGAAGTGATGGGTAGGTTTGGTGTCAAGGAAAGAAACCAGGAAGAACAGATGGTGGTGGATTTTACCAAGAGAATGGAAATGGCTGTAGTCAATACCTATTTCCAAAAGAGGGAGGAGCATAGAGTGACCTATAAGAGTGGAGGAAGGAGTACACAGGTCGACTACATTCTGTGTAGAAGAGGAAACCTGAGGGAGATTGGAGACTGTAAGGTTGTGGCAGGGGAGAGCGTGGCCAGACAGCATCAGAGGGTTGTGTGTAGAATGACTGTTGTTGTGAAGAAGAGAAAAAGAGTAAAATCAGAGAAGAAGACCAAATGGTGGAAGATGAAGAAGGAAGAACGTTGTGAGAAATTCAGAGAGGAGCTGTTAAAGGCTCTGGGTGGTAAGAAAGAGCTTCCAAATGACTGGACTACTACAGCAACAGTAATTAGAGAGACAGGTAGGAAAGTACTTGGTGTGTCATCTGGACAGAGAATGGATGATAAGGAAACCTCTTGTCGAGAGGAGCCAGTTGAGGCGGTTCAGGCATCTGGTAAGGATGTTCCCATGGCGCCTCCCTAGGGAGGTGCTTTGGGCATGTCCAACTGTTAGGAGACCCTGGGGAAGACCCAGGACACGCTGGAGAGACTATGTGTCTCAGTTGACCTGGGAACGCCTTGGAATCCTCCCAGAAGAGCTGGAAGAGGTGGTGGAAAGAGATGTCTGGGCCTTCCTGCTCAAGCTGCCGCCCCCGCGACCCGACTTCGGAACAAGTGGAAGATAATAGATGGATGGATGGAAACCTGGTGGTGGAATAATGAACTGCAGGACACTGTTCAAAGAAAGAGGTTAGCCAAGAAGAAATATGACAGTGAGAGGACTGAAGAGAGGAGACAAGAAGATAAGGAGATAGAACGTAGAGCAAAGAGGGAGGTAGCTAAGACAAAGCAGAAGGTGTATGATAAGTTGTATGGGAGGCTGGACACTAAAGAGGGTGAGAAGGACTTGTACCAATTGGTGAGACAGAAAGATCAGGCTGGAAAGGATGTGCAGCAGGTTAGTCTTGTTAAAGATAAGAATGGTAATGTTCTAACAAGTGAGGAGAGTGTGATGGGAAGATGTAAGGAGTGTTTTGCAGAGCTAATGAATGAAAGAGAAAGAAGAGTAGAGGTCATAGAAACTGGACAAGGAAATGGGAAATATTAGTGAGGGTGAAGTCTGGAAAGCTCTGAAAAGAATGAAGAAGGTGAAGGCAGTAGGATCTGATGACCAGTGGAGGTTTGAAAATGTCTTGGAGAGATGGCAGTGAGGTTTTTGACTCAAATATTCAATGGCATATATGAGGGTGAAAAAATGCCTGAGGAGTGGAAAAGAAGTGCTGGTGGCCATTTTTATGAACAAGGGTGATGTACAGAGTTGTAGCAACTACAGGGGAATTAAGTTGATGAGTCACATGATGAAGATCTGGGAGAGTTGTGGAAGCAAGACTTACTGTAGATGAGAGGTGACTATCTGTGAGCAGCAGTATGGTTTCATCTCACCACAGATGCCATCTTTGCTTTGAGGATGTTGATGGAGAAGTACAAAGAGGGTCAGAAAGAACTCCATTGTGTCTTTGTGGATTTAGTAAAAAACATCTGACAGAGTGCTGAGGGAGGAGGTGTGGTATTGCATGAGGAAATCTGGAGTGGCAGAGGAGTATGTTAGACTGGTACAGCATATGTTCAAGGACAGCAGGACAGTGGTGAGATGTGCTGTAGGAGTGACAGATAGCTTCAAGATGGAGGTGGGAGTGCATCAAGGATCGGCTCCGAGCCCCTTCTTGTTTGCTCTGGTGATGGACCAACTATAACAGATGAGGTCAGGCAGGAATCCCCGTGGACTATGATGTTTGAAGATGACACCATGATCTGTAGTGAGAACAGGGAACAGGTGGAAGAGAACTTGGAGAGGTGGAGGTATGCACTTAAAAGAAGAGGAATGAAAGTCAACCGTAGTAAGACAGAGTCCATGTGTGTGAATGAGAGGGAGGAGGTGGAACAGTGAGGCTACAAGGAGCAGAGGTCACAAAGGTGCAGGACTTCAAGGACTTGGGGTCCACTGTCCAGGAACATGGGGAACTGGGAGTGGCAGAAATGAAGATGTTGAGGTTCTCCTTAGGAGTGACAAGGATGGATAAGATTAGGAATGAGATAATCAGAGGTTGAACAACTGGGAGATAAAGTTAGGGAGGACACATTGAGATGGTTTGGACATGTCCAGAGGAGGGACAGTGGGTATATTGGATGTTAGAAATGCATCTGCCAGGAAAAAATATATTTGTAAACAATGATGTTTAGCATCATTAGTGTATCAGAGTATGTTGGGGATGACTCTCAGTTACCACCACATCAAATTGTAGCTCCTTATCTGTAAAATTAACTCAGTTATAGCCATTTTAAATTTTAGTGTTTGCTAATATTGTGTAACTGTGACCATCTTGAATCAGGTTGACTTCAAAAGTTATTTGTGGATAAACATCCAATAATTATTTTCTGAGATTTGCACTTTAATCAAATTATTCTCATATTGAACTGGAGCAGAAAACATGAGTCATATTCTGCTGATGTGCAGCAGCTTGTGTCTGGTTTTTCCATCATTTGGACCGGGAGGAGCAGGATGAGCGTCAGCATCGTCTCCACAGAGAAATCTCAGGATTAACAGATTGTCAGCTTCAGCTGATGCCAATTCCATCTGACAGGAAGTCATGGAGGATAACGAGACCTGATCATTTATTAAAAAGGAAAAAGTTTTCCACTTTTCCAACTTCTCAGAACTCACAGTTTAAACAGATCAGGTGAAGCGACAGCTGCTGTTTGTGCATAAAACTCCTAAAACAATTCTGTGAATAAACGATCAGACTGAGAAAAGGAAAACAGACTCAAAGAATAAACATTTTCAAGTTTACTGAAGTGGATACGAGAAAACCACAGAACAGCTGTTTATCTTTTTCACATAATAAAGTTCAACAACAAAATGTTTTCTATGTTTAGATTTTAAAAGTCAGACAGTTACAGGATTTTATTATATTCTGATAAAAAGTCAGATCATAAAGGAGAACCAGACAACTGCAATAATCCAAAAGCCTTTTTTAAAGGAATGCATATCACCCACACCTGTCCTGACTGTCATAAGTTTCAAACTGAAGTTTCTGTCGGTAGAGCAACAAGCTGAAGTCATTGTGATTGCCCTCAACATCAAAGTTTTCCACAGTCTCATGGGATATTTTAATAAAGACACATTTTAATATTGTTATGATTGAATATCACATATTTGACATTGAGTCATCACAATATGTGATATTGAAATATTACTTTATATCATGATTACTCAATATCACAATATATTGTGACTACACTATAACAATATATTGTGATTACTCAATATTGCAATATATTGTGATTACTCAA